AAATAATAAGCCCGAAATTTAATCGTTTTACACAAAGTAGTTTTTGGCGTAATACTGTGGTTTTGCGTTAAGCGTGTACGCCCCTGTCTTACGAAGGTATTGTAGTCATGAATATTTAAATTTATGAGTCCTTAACGGGCCTTGCAAAAAACACTAGGTCTTTGACTTCTCTATAATAAATTTATGGTAGTAGCGTAGCGGTCAGATCGGTAACGATACTTGTAGGAGGTGTCCCTAAGGCCTCCTCCAAACGTAGTGCTACTACCGTGCCAAGCTCAAATGACTGAATTTGGCCCGACAGTGGCATGACAAAAAAACGGCAGTGGTTTCAAACTTCGAATTTAATTCAGTCGCCCCGAGGATCGGAAAAAGTTTGCTCTGCTGCAGACCATTTGAAATGCTAGAAAGTAATGGCAGATGATACAGCATATCATGCATTCAATTCGGCACGGCAAGAGCACGCCCTTTGATGTCAAGTCGCGCTACTGCCGTGCAGCACGGCAAGGCCTGCCGTGCTAAGTAGTCGTGCCGAACTCAATTCAGCCTGCCGAACTGAGTGGTTTTAAACGTCGCGCTACTGTCGTGCTTAAGTCGAATTTAATTATTGAATTTGGTTCGGCACGGCAGTAGCACGTTTAGAATAGGCCTCTGGTTTTCAAAATCCATCTTGTTGCTCGCCTTTGTACGCTCTCGATTTTGTCTTTTTTTGCTTGACATGAAAAGGAGACCACACCTGTGAGGCACAGGAAAATTTGAAACTTGACCAAGGACAGGTACAAGGAAAAAGTTGTAGGTTAAAAAAGTTAAAAGTTGTAATTTAATTAATGTGACTTTCGTTTTTTACTGACGTGTGAGTAAATTTGATCGTCTTGACGATACGTTGATTCAGTAGCTCGTCAATTCGAAATCTGAGAGATCTTTGCTGTATGGTTGAATCCTGTGATTTCAGTGCTTTCTGATCGACACCACGTATAAGTATAATTCTCCGTTCCTTGCTTTTCTCAGTGTGTATAACGCACTTTGGAATTCCTTCCCATTTAGAATGATATCAAGACATAAATGAAATATTTGGATATACGAGATTCACTTTTTCAGTTTTCAGTTGTTTTTTTTTCTGATTGTTTAACATCATTTGTTTGAGTTTATTTTTAACTTAATATAAGATTAGATATTTTCAAAGAGTATTGCTACACTTGAAATTTGTTAATGGCGTAATATTTGTAAACATCAGTATTAAGCTTTTGAGGTTCCAGCTTCCAGCAACACGGGATCTGTGGAAAATACGGCGGCCCGCTTGTTTTAGCCAAAATGTGAATTTTTTTTCTCTTCTTCCTCGAAATTTCAACTTGGCAGCGAGGCCTAGCGAACAAGAACAAAGGAAATTGAATGACCGATCTATTTTATCGCCTTCGCTCTACCTGCCGTGAGATGGCTTCTGTCCTTGTTTTTGGGTGAAGTTCGCAGTTTGGGAAAAAAATTGTTGAAAATGCTTCGCAGACATCTGTTCTGGAAAACTTCTTCTTTGTGACTGATGGTCTTCGTCATCCTCCAACCAATTTTAATGTGTAATAAAATGATCAAGGTGGTATGGTACCGTAAAATGGACCAAAAAGTTTGTTTAATTATGTTGAAGAAAGATCAATTGTGTGCTATTGCACTCAACAAGAGAAAATAAATTTTGAAAGTTTTACTCAAAATGGTGTTTTATAGTATTGACGCCAAAACGTCCTGCTCTTTTACATAACAAGATTTGACTGTCAAATAAGCACATCGTGCAAGTTTCTGTTTTGTTTTGTGCAATGAACCTAAATTTTGACAGTTAACTCTTACTTTCAGTGCTTTTTACAGGCTTTATTTGGAA